GTAGCGCACGTTGCTCAGAAAGTCGAACCATCCGTTCTCGATCTCCTCGTTGACGACGACTGCGAGCAGCTGAGCCCTTGTGAGGCCCTTGTAGAGGTCCGCCCGGGTCACGAGATCACGGGCCTCACCCTGAATCGGTGCATCCAGCCCCACGCAAATCACTATGAGATGCTCCAGTCCATCTACCCTATCGATGGTGTCGAGGACGATCTCTTCTTGCCGGTGCTCTTGCTGCTCCCCAGCGCTCGGCCTGTCCACACTGCGAAGCCAGAGCGGCAGCGAGCGCAGGGACTCCTCGTGCTTGACGAGACGGAACTGTCGGAGCGGGAGTCCCTCGCGCAACAACGGGCTCAAGGCCTTCTTCAGCTCCGTCAGGAACTGACCATCTGGAACCAAGACGGCAAGCCTCTTGTGCAGGCTGACCCCCGAATAGACGTTGTCGACATGAAGGATGGCATCCATCACGCGCCGGGCGTAGTGTTTCATCCGCTCATCCTCGTCCTTGGAAGCTTGAAAGATGTAGGACTTCACAGGCGGGCCATCGGTGCCCGCAGGCACAGCAGCTTCGGCGTTGACTTGGAACGAGGCAGCCCCCAGGACGATTTGCTTCGTGCTCCGAACTACTTCCGTCAGCTGCACCTCCTCCATCTCTGGAAACGTGGCTGTCACGGCCGAAGACTGGGCGTTGTCGGACAGCAGCAGCCGTTTGCTGCAATGCAGATCGTCAAGAATGCCGCGGTCGACCCCGTCTCGGTACATATTGTGGCTCTCGTCAATGACAAGGAGATCGAACTTGTCATTCTTGTCGTGGGTCATGACTACTGCTTCGAACTCGATGCGCCCGTCTTGCAGCACGGGCATACGAAGCCGGAGGAGACTCTTGTATGGCTTGAAAAGCATAACCAACGCGGAAAGAAGTTCCAAATCCTTCTTCTGAGAGACGATGCGTACGGCCAGCCACTGGACGAAGTAGTAGATCAGCTCGACGGTAGCGGCTACATAGAGGACGCGAGGAGTTGGCTCATCAGCCCCAGGATTCAGAGCATCGATCACCAGCTCGACCGCCACGAAGGTCTTGCCGGAACCGGCAGGAGCAAACAAGTGCACCATGTCCGAGCCTTTGATGGTACTAAAACGCTCTCTCTGGTGACACGTCAGCTTGTCAAGGGCCCGGAGGCTGGCATCGTACATTTCCATAAAGTGGGATTTGCTGACTTCCACCTCCCAGCGGGGATCTGCCAGGTGCCTGTTGATGTCTCGCTCGAGGTCGTCATTGAGGATTCGATTTCTGAGTTTGTGCAGGGTACCGATGGACTTGATGCGCAGCTTGGCTCTCAGGGCCACGAGGTCTGGGTGAAGCCGATGGGTGCCGATGTCGAGCACATCGACGTGCGGAAGGCACTCCATTAGGATCCCGCGCAGTTTTGCATCACCTCAGCTCGCAAAACTATACCAATTGCTCTCATCTGGAGGCCTGTGGCTTCACACGCGTGCTGTCTCTGCTCCTGAGGTGCCGACCGACATGATCCAGCATGGCCTTCATGGTCGCAAGTGTACTGCAGATGCAAAAGGCGTCGAAAGTCTGCTTTGTGATCTGGCATCGTAGTGTCCATCGCACCACGTTGTCATCGGAACCGTCCTCCTGCTCCGTGTCCACCAGATCCTGCTTCTCGACGGTTCCCCTCCGCCAGGACTTTGTCTCCTCGCACCAAGCGTCGACCAGTTTGGCTTTCTCAAACTGCTCTTCCAGCACGTCGAAGACATCCACCTCTTCGTAACTCCAGCCCATCTCCTTGGCCTTTGCCATCTCAATTTCCTGGGTCGCATCCAGCTGCCCGGGTGGCCGGGCCACTTTCAAGCGTTGACCGTACTTGAGAGCCTCCTGAACCTTCTCGAGCCACTTGCTCTGCTCTCCACCACCGGGATCTGGCTCCGGCTTGTGATCACCTAAGCCGCGTGAGCGGGCACTGATGATAATGTGGGCCCGAAGTTTTTGTGAAGGGACGAGCTCCTGTACCAAAGCTACTTGGGTGATAAAGTGGAAAGGGACGAAAACGGCCGACTGTCTCTGCGATGAACACATGATTTGAGGACATGCTGTCAGGTTCAGGCTGCCTGGCAACTTGGCATGTGGAACAGGAAGCTAGGAGCTACGAGTGGCATGAACACTCCCGTCTCCTTGGAAAGCAACACGGTAGGCCGCAGCAGGAAAGAAAGGAACGAGTTGAGAGAATCAGCAGATGAAAGCTCAGCGATGTTGAGAGAACACTGCTCTGCGCAAGAGTTTGGATGCAGGCTCACAATGCGATTTCGGCTATGTGAGCATTCAGCTTTGACCTGGGTCAATCTCAGCGGATCGCAAGTTCGAGATGTTTCTTGGGCCCTTTGCCTCAATCGTAGATCTTTTTGTGGGCTATAGATGTGCTAACCTAGATCTGGCGATATCTGCGAAACTCCTTGCCGACAAAGGCTTGAGACAACAATCCGCATGTCCGAGGCCAGGACCACTGTCCTCGTCGGCTTGGAAGATGCAGGCAACGGAATCTTGTGGCGACTCGCACGTCAGCATGTCCCAGCAGGCTGCGTACTTCGCAGGGAAAGACATCCAGCAAGTCGTCGCCCCAGGAACGATGCGCCCCTCGAAGCTGACTTTCGTCGGGAGGCCACACGCAGGTCGACCCTTCGGCAACAAGTAGATCATCTCCTCGGGGCGCAACTCCTGGCGGGACAGTGACAGCCCTAAAACAACGATGTAACCCGGAGCCCTAGAACAACGATGTTGGTGTGCGACCATCCCTGGGCCAAGTGCTGGAACTTGCTCCCGGCCCTGCCGGCCTCCTCAACGTTGCCGTCCCTCCAGCCGTCCTGCATCGTAGGTGCGGGGATGAAAAGGATCGAGACAGGTTCGGGGTACGAGCAGAGAAGCAAATGACAAGAAGGCCAGTTCCTTATCTGACCTTGTCTGAGTTCAGTTGTTGGATTCCTCGCGGCTTGTTACGCAAGATACTTCTCAAGATAGTCTGCACTCCGTGTTGTCTTTCTTCAGTGGTTTGCATCTCGCAGCGGCAGTCTTTGTTTCACAGCTCGACATGGC